CGAGAAAGCTGCTCTTTCCAGATGACCTTGTTTTAATACTATCTTGTGAAACTGATGTATATTGCTAACAAGAAATGTTGGCAGCCGAATGTGACGTGACCAGCATGCATGCGAACGCATCTAAAACGAAAAGCCTAGTGCTTTCTCGTTCTCCTACCTCTTGCTCTCTTTAGGATAACAAAGAGACAGTGAAGCAGGTGGAAAAGTTCAAGTACCTCGGAGTGGTATGTACTAGTGATGGAAAATTTGAGAAAGTGATCGACCGGCGAATTGGAGTAGCCAGTGGCGTTTTGCGTGAATTAGATGAAACCGTTGTAACTAAGACAGAGTTGAGTCTTAAGACCGAGCTCTCGGTATTAAAGTCGATCTTCATCCCTGTGCTTACTCGCGGTCATTACTCTTGAACTGTGACTAAAAAACTTCGATCCCCGGTACAAGCGGCTAAAATGGGCTTTCTGAGATGAGTTGCTGGCCTCACGCGTCTCGACATGGTCGAAGTGCAGAAATCCGCTAGAGCCTTGGTGTACAACCGCTGCTTCTTCAGACTGAGAAGTAAAAGCTGCGATGGTTTGGGCTCGTTTTATGAATGTCTCCAGAGAGGACGGCGAAGACTGCTTCTTGCCCAGCCGACCGGCAGAAGGCGTAGGAGACGGTCAAGACTAACCTGGGGCAAATATACAGAAGGAATCTGCGCTTGACTCCGGCTGTCTTCTGCCGATGCTCAGATTCTAACAGAGAATCGTGAACGTTGGAAGCACTCTCTGGGGCGTCAGCCTCCGGAACCCGAATGGGGAAGCGGCTATGGAAGATGAAGCTGAAAATGAAGATGAATTTCGGTTGGACAGCCGAGAGCAGATTTAAAAAGCAGTATTTACGTACTGCCCTAACAATTTCATGATTTCCAGAATTTCCAATTTAGTTTCTTAACTTATCCAGTTTCGAAATTGTTAGCAAGTTAAACGATTGAGTTATCTCTAAAAGTTGGATCTATATTAGGATTTTCATAGGGAACAGTTAGAAATTGAGAATTCGATCCAGTGAGAAATCGTCGACTGGAGGCTAGGCTTAAAGTTTGCCCGATGATGAATTTTATACATGTACAGTAACGCCGACCTCACTGAATAAAAAGAAACTCAACGCTTGTTTCCAATTCCCAATAAACTGAGAACTCACAAACGACAATGAAGTTCAATTACATGTCAGTTGATGCTTATCGCAGACAAGGAATTTTGCTCGTATAAATGATTAAATATATTACTGAAAGGAGCAATTCGAAATCCTAACTTTTTTCACGTAGAACAGCAAACTTATAGAATAGCATAACAGATCGGGTTGCAAAGAAGGGCATATATCTGAGCAGCTTCGATAAAACTTGTTGGCGAGACGATGAAATCGGCTCTAATATCCTTCTTGTGACACATGGACGTGACAACTGTCATATGGTCGACATTTTAAAGGCACACTCACTCGCATAAGGTAGGTAGTAGTGGCAAAAGAGCCGTTGCATGAGAGATGCCTAGTTTGCTACGTAGTCAATTCAAAAAATACAAGCAAACAAACGACACCTGAAGTGCGCAAAGCAAGCGTGAGAATCGTGCAAATATTTCCTACAGAACCATGTAAAAATGTTATGGGGAACTGTTAGTGAATTTTACAATCCACATTTTAGCATCTGCAAGATACCGTATTAAGATGGGTGCATTTTCAAGATCCTCGACAGCACACTACATCGTACTGTATGGTATCTAAAGATCTCTTGACTTTTTTCACCATTACACTGTTTCATGGCCTCTGCTAAAACATTTCATCCTCACTGTACATGTTTAAAGGGATGTAAAATTGAGGAACGAACGTTCAACCGGACGAATATTATTATCAGAAAACCTTTAAAAGCCTACTATTTCCGAAACGAACACTCCGGGTTCGTGCTTGCGGCCAACGATGCTCAGTCCGAGTCCCCTGCCAGGCTTTTTGTTCAATTCCACGTCAAAAATGTCGTAAATTAATCCCGGGCTCATAAGATTGGTAATCATTTCCGGGTCTCGAAACACTACCAAACGAACCTTGGTCGGCGTCTGCCTCAGAAAAGAGATCGCCACCTTGTGCGTGACATTTCTTAGCGAGTGACCGTTAACCTACAAACGAAAATGAACCACAATCGAACCTTCGAACGTCGCTTACTTGGAAAAGTTGGTCACCAGGTTGCAGTCGGCCATCTTTGGCTGCCGCACCATCGGCGTAGATCTCGTGAATCACAGTACTGCCCAGAATGGTATCCGAGCCACCAACCAAGCTAATCCCGAGTCCCTGACCATTTTTATCTATCTCAATGAGTGTTTCTCGGCCCGGTGTGATGGAGCAGGTTGCAGGATCATGCGCAATGACATCTTTAAATCCGTTGATATCTAGAAAGATAACATATGCAAAGCAATGCAACAAGTAAAGGTGTCATGCACAAGAGTAAAAGAATGTTTGCAAATCTAGTAGTACATTCCTCCTCTCCAGAAGCAGGCGATCCAAAGGATCACACGTGGAGAGGGCGGTGCGCTGTAATAACGAGGATATTTGCAGAGAAGTAACGTGAAACGTCGGCTAATTAGAGCTCGAAGAGCCTCTTTGCGCCTTTAGCATATATAAAAACAAGTAATTAACGACCTATGCGCTTCTCTACTGATTGCAAAAAAGAAGAATGAAGTTAATTCTTTGTTTAAGGAGAAAGCAGAAAAATAGTAAGAAATTCAGTAAAATTTAGCTTCCAACACCACTACCCCCTCAGTCGCCACCCTGTGATTCCGCAGTGCTGAACAAGCTATCAATATACTGCACCGCTGAAACCTCATTGTCTACTCGGCATGACAGAAGAAAAGAAGTGTGGAAGAACCCATAAGCAGATCTTTAATCCGAACCTTTCACTGTGATTTGCTCCTGTGCGTGTATGAAAGAAAACATGCTTCCGGATTTGAACACGAAAACAATCAGTCTACCACAGTGAATGACTACAAAGAAAGCATATCTACCATTTGTTTCACATATTGCATTGTTGCAGCGCAGTAACAAGATGGAACACGCGCGTTTTCTAAGAGTTTTGCAAGAAGAACCATACAGTATGCAGACTTTTTAAACGCACTATATAATGGCCATCAGAAAAGCAGGGTGCAATTGAGAACTCATTGTGTTTTCAAACGTTTAGCTTGTTCGCTAGACGAAGTACGTCAGCGAAAAGGCTCTAATAACTGGGACGTACATTTGCATCCAATGCTTAACGAGATCAAGATCATGAAAGCTAATTTTGCGCCAATTTTCTTGTAAGTAAATTACTTGCCAAGAAACATCGCTTGTATGTCTCAGAAAATCCCTGCGAATCGCTAATAG